ATAACTGCGTATAATCTACGGAGTATTTTATAATAATAATAATAATAATAATTTCATAAATGACATGTCATTCAAATATCATATAACATTTAAATTTACAGATCTAAGATCTGAAATCAATGTGGGTAAGTCAGAAGAGGCAAGGGTGACCGGAAACCGGAGTGATCGAGGTGGCTGGCGACACAGGCAGCACTGGCGGCACCGGCACCGGCGACTAGCGGCGACATTGCCAGAGGCAGCTGCGGAGCTGGATGAGGTGGTGATGATGTCTGGTTACGTTGGTGACGGCGGCAGCGGCGGCGTCCGGCGGCGGCGTTAGGTGTTGGTGGTGTTGGCGTCAGACTTGTGGCCATCTGGAACAGTCAATTGTTGTATTTGCTTTTATTTTATGATATTCCATTTTACGGAGTATAACTTAACGAACATCAGAACATGTACCGCTTTCATTAAGGGTATTGGTGTCAAGTCAGGTCTTTTTACTCATATGGAACTATACGGAATATTTAAGTCCTATTTTTGCACTTTTATATTATTTTACTCCTAATCAGGGAATTAACTCTAGTAAATTTTGTTAGCTTTTTACAACTTTTGAGCTCTATTAGCTTTTAGAATGTGACCCTTTACAACACATGTTAGAATGTTGAAATATTGTATGCCAATTCTTTTTCAATCATTTACATTTTTTTAAAATGTCATATTTCAAAATGCAATGTCTATATTATGGTATTGTTATAAACAATGTCATTAAAACATTACCATTGTATTATTAACATTGCCACGGCAAATATTGTTTCACTAAAAAGTCCACTTATAAAAAATGTTGACTCTACCATTCACATTGTCATATTATTGCAAAATTGTCATTACCGATATTATCACAATGTAATGCATAACAATGTCAATGGCATAACAAAGGTAATGACATTGTCATCGATATATCCTATAATCACTACCAGTCGCCAACCCGTGGAGATGAAGAAACCTCCGGATGAGAGGGTGACACTCAGATGGGTATTTGGGAAGTTTAGCGAAGGGAACATAACCGGCATGGTAGACCATTTGATGAAGGAAAAGATAGACAAGGAGATATTGGTGAGGATGTACGAGTTGGCAATTCAATTTGCAGTGCCTACCCGGACGGATCGCCTAGATATGAAGACACTCGTAGAGCGGTTATGGGCAATTAGAATAGAGTACTCAAAGGGAGTGAAGATGATCTAACACAGCTGCAGATTTGTCTCTTGTATTATGCTATAAAAAGAGATCATCAGTTCCGAAGGTACCATAGGGATTAGAGGGGCTTCTTGTATGCAACATGGTATTCATTGTTGGATTTGCTTTGCTCACGGAGAAAGAATAATAATCATAAAATAATTATAGTGATGGCTAAGGAGAAGGAAAAATATACACGAAGCATTTGTTCTACTTCACTTGCAATAAACCAAATTGATTACAAGTTTAAATAGCTAAACTCACACAACCTAGCACTACACACACGCACACCACTAAGTAACTAACTGCCCATGTACGTATCTAGTTACACCCATGATAATGAGACCCACTCACCCACTAACACATGCATGCAAATAATTTAAATAACACCAATGCAAATCAGACTAACACTAATGCAACGACACACACGCATTTCAGTGCCGCTATAACATATGCACGGTGCCACGCGACGCACACAACTTGGCATGGCTCATCCCGCCGTGCACTAACACTCTAGTTTAAAATGCACCAATGACTCAAAATAAACTAAATTAAACATAATGAAATTATAAACAACAAGATTAACTCCAACAATCACCCCCTTAATCTTGTTGTCATTTATTTAGAACTCCTCGCGGACCATCACAGCAGTGCCGGCTCGTCGTCGGCAATCGCGGCGGCGAGATAAGCCCGCTCCTTCCTTGGTGCTATGCAATCCTTGGAGAAATGCCCATACTCTTGGCAATTGTAGCATCGAACCTTACGGATGTCGAATGTACTCTTCTTCTTGCCGGTGCCACCCCGGTAGCGAGAACGCCACTCCTCCTCTGTGAGTAGCAATTGACCTCCACCGCCATGGTCATTGTTGTCGACGCCGTCGTCCGCATCGCTCCTATCCTCCACCGTTTTGAGTCTTCCCACAAGCTCCTCCATGGACATGGTTTTAAGATCAAGAAGCTGTTCAATTGCAATAGCTACCTGGGTGTACTTGGACGGCACGATCCGAAGAAGTTTCTTCACGACCTTCACCTCCTCGAAGGTCTCACCGAGGGTGCGAATCTTGTTGGCGAGTCCGTTCATGCGCATGGCGAGGTCGTCGATCGTCTCACCACTCCGCATGCGAACGGAATCAAATTCCTTAAGTAGAGTTTGTGCCTTGGCCTCACGGACACGCTCATCGCCCACACGCATGGTCTTGATGGCGTCCCATGCCTCCTTTGCTGTCGCCTTCACGGCAAGCGTGGAGAGCATCTCCGGTGGCACGGCTCGCAAAATTGCCGCTAGCGCCACCCTATCCTCGCTAAAGCTCCCGCCACCCTCGACAGCGTCCCACACGCCTTGGGCCTCCATGTTCACCTTCATGATGAGCGCCCACTCAAAATAGTTCGTCGCCGTCAACGTCGGGTAGACAACGGTGCTGCTGGCCTGGTGGACGACACGCTGCTGTACCACCACCTCGCGGCCGCCTCGCCGCATCGGACTCCGCCCACGTCGTACCGGCGAGTGTGACGGAGTGCGCGAACTTTCGCCTACCATGGCTCTGATACCAAATGTTGGATTTGCTTTGCTCACGGAGAAAGAATAATAATCATAAAATAATTATAGTGATGGCTAAGGAGAAGGAAAAATATACACGAAGCATTTGTTCTACTTCACTTGCAATAAACCAAATTGATTACAAGTTTAAATAGCTAAACTCACACAACCTAGCACTACACACACGCACACCACTAAGTAACTAACTGCCCATGTACGTATCTAGTTACACCCATGATAATGAGACCCACTCACCCACTAACACATGCATGCAAATAATTTAAATAACACCAATGCAAATCAGACTAACACTAATGCAACGACACACACGCATTTCAGTGCCGCTATAACATATGCACGGTGCCACGCGACGCACACAACTTGGCATGGCTCATCCCGCCGTGCACTAACACTCTAGTCTAAAATGCACCAATGACTCAAAATAAACTAAATTAAACATAATGAAATTATAAACAACAAGATTAACTCCAACATTCATGAGCGGATATACAGAATGAAAACAAACAAAATTCATCATGTCTGTAGATGGTAATATTGTGCTGTATACACTTCAACTTATCCCTCATATTATAAATATGACATTGTCATGCAATCCTATCATATCCTATATACCTAACGGGAGAATCCCATCTCCAAATAACTTTTCCCGCTTCTCTCCCCTAATAATTCTATATACTCCGTAGTACATTCACCGTATAATTCCATCTTGCGGACACCGTAAATGCTCTTGCGGCTTCTGTGGGCTGAAATTCCATCTTCCGCAGCGGAAATTGGGACATCAACCGAGGTCAAGCTTTTCTCTTCTTTGTCATTTCTTTCTTTGTTCCAATAGAGAAATCACGTTTTTTTTTGACAGTCACGTCTTCTTCTTTTTGTGCAGCACAAGCTTCTCAGCGAACATCGACTAACCCGAGACCCTTAATAATAATTACTTAATACTACGTATATGAGTCCTATTAATAGGTCCTACTCGGATACATCACCTGAATTTTAGTCCTATTAATATTCAAATAATTGCTTCAAAATAAAGAGTCCATTTGGTAACTCTTTTTTTCGGCGCTGAATTGTGGAATAATAAAAAATGTAAGATTTGAGTGATTTTTTTGTTTGTATTGATTGAAGTTATCGTAGATGATCATTTTAACTCATTTTTATTAACAAAAATATTTTAAATATATTTTTTCATAAATCAGCATAAGCAGGCAAGCAGCCAATCTAGCTATTTCAAATAGAACTTCATAAATTTAATTTCAACATAATCAATCTTTTTAGCCAATTTAAGTGTTACCAAACTAGCTCTAAATGACATTCTTTCTTTGAAATTACGTTAAGCCAAACCGACCATGATGTCTGATAGAGTATTTAATCCTAGAGAGATGTGAGAGCTAGAGAGATAAAGTGAGTGATTATATTTCTTAACTCCCTATAACTAGCCCCTTGGTGTCTATTTATAGGTAAAAATGTGGATTTGGGCTCCTAGCCTTGGGCTTAGGAGGCCCATTACAATAATCATGCCTTCTTGGGGCGAAATAAGGTCACTAATGGGCTGAGTACAATACTTAACAAATAAAGAAGGAAAATGCATTCTGCCTGAACGAAGTATGGCCGATGCGGTGTGGTTTGGCCGACGCGGGTCCATGGCCGATGCGGTCTATGGGCCGATGCGGCCCCAGTGGCCTGGGTGGGATGCTGGGCTGATTCGGCCCTGGGTCGTTGCGGGCCCCTGTTGGCCGTAGCGTGCCACGAGGATGCTCTGCTGGCATGTTTGTCTTTAGAGTATGTGGGTCATGGAGTCTAGGCCCATATATTCTATCAATGTCTATGTCCGAATCAAATCAAGTTGCTGTCTGATGTCTACTGCTCATTTAAGTTTTAAGCCCTTCTCAACCCCACATACGTACTTTGCATTAAACAACAATAGGAAATAAACTAGAAAAAAAAAGTAAATTCATACACCAATAGGCTATTAGCATCCCTTCATAACTTAAATATAGACTCTATAATAACTCTATAAACTTTGTTAATAGAGTCTTCCCTTACATTCCATTTTATCTTCATTTTCTTTTTTTAATACGTGGTACATCTGTATCTCATCTTATTTTTTCTATTATCTTCTTTTCCTTGTTTGAAAAGAATGGTAACGGTTGATATTATTCATCTCTAAAGAACAAATTTCATCCCCGCTTTCGCTTTATAAAGAGTCATGCAAAATCAAATACGAAAACAAAGTAGAAACATCAAGAACTTAACTATGGTAATTAAACACGTCTTCGAATCCGACAACCAGTTATTGGTGAATTGTTGGATCGCAACTATCCGAACATGGATCGGACGGTTCATATAAACTAGCAGATGCTGCCATTAGATCTGAAAGCAAGAGTGACTTTTAAGCATATATTAGCTGCTTCAGCTATTAATGTTTACACATCAAACTTGGAGTAATTGATTGATTAGCAAAGCACCAAAAAAAGTTAAGAGTGGGGTTCAGTTTTGATGGAAAGGTGAGCTCCCAAGCCCAACCACGACTTGTCATGATCTTTTTGTTTGGATGAATAGGCTGCCACCAATTTGCCACCCATCTGGTATGGTCCCTTTGAAATAATCCTGCATTTTAAATGCATCCCTTTGTTGAAGTAGTCCAACAACTATTGAACTTTCATTTGGATTGAAATAATCTTCTGAATCCTTGGAATCGGGTTTAAACAAAACTGTTTAAGTCTGGTCTGATCTCTGTTTTAGGTTCAGTATGTTCTAGACTTGTATGGTACATTGGTATGGACATGGTATACGGAGTATTTCATAAGTATCCAAGTCTAGTATGGTCTAAACTTGTATGCTTAAGTTTGTTCTACTAAGGCTAGTTAAGTCTCATTTAGTCTAATCTAGAAATAACTCCTTATGAGTCTTAGTCATTGCTCGTTTGGGTTAAGTTCGATTTGATTTGATATAAGGCTCAAACCCGCGTTCAAGAGAAAATATTCTAAGGGTGTGATTTCTAAGTTAAAGTCCCTTTAATGTTTGGTTTATATTTCATAATTATTGGTTGGTGTAGGAAGGCCTATCACTTCCTTGAATTGGTCATATCGATGCAAGAAGCTTCATATCAACGACAATAGGTATGAAAATAATTAATACGTTATGCCACCACAACTGAAGGATTTTAGTTGCATGTGGAAGTCAAGATTGAATGTGTTCATTGTTTCAGTTAGAAAATTCACAATCATGTGATGAAAAAGGAAGATAGGCAAGCTGTACATTGAAATAATAGAGGGATAAGTTTTTTCAAAAGATGTTTGACAACTGATTTCGTAATCCCAATTTTCATCTTATGAACCAACTTTTTGTATCAAACAAGCAATTTTTACTTCACACATTGAATTGTTTGATATTCAAAATTAATAAGTTTGGAGTTACTTTTTATTGAATTAATAGAAGTTACTATAAAGGATTATTTTATCTATTTTTTATATAATTTATTCGTAACATAAAATGTATTTTTAATAAAATTTTCTATAATTCAGCAAATTCAGCCACTTCAACCAGAATTTCATCAAATTCAGCAAATTTTCTATAAATCTTCTATTACGCGCGGGACGGGCTCTAAATTAACTAATCTATTTTTTCCTTTTAGTGTGGTTTGAGTAACTTTAACTCAATTTTAAGTTCTATGAGAAGAATCGGAATGAAAATACTAAAGATGTGAGACTTATGATGCTCACCTATCTTTTCTCTTCTCCAAGAACCTAGCAAGTGAATGTCTCCTCGCAATGGGCAGGTCTGCAATAATGAAAGGATTGAAAATTGAGAGATCTTCCAAATAAGTCAAGCATGTAAGAGCACAAATCTGAGACCAGGACGAATCATAACAAGCACCATTAGTTTACCAGAAGTAATTGGCTGAACAGCGGGGGAAGCCACCGCATTGGTAGCTGAACATTCTGCCGGTTTCGCGGGCAGGAAAGTTGAATTTTTATAGGAAAAGATGTTGGGATTCTGTGTGTTGTTTCCTTGTCTAGCCAAACTCAAAATTTCTTCAGCCTTTTGTGCTGGAAAGTCATTGAACACAAACACCTCACCCCCATAAAATATCGTCATTTGCGACTTCTCAGGCTCTGCTCTAGCCACACTGTCACCCAACATAAAACAACAGCAAAAACGTTTAATAAATCACAAAACTTATACTTGAGGTATTAAGATTTGGAGTCCAATCCTGAAATGTCAAGAAATAAAAAATTGTCATAAGTCTTCATTATTTTTTATTACAATAAATATGTGTCATTTCTCCTAATTTATCCTACCTTCCTAGTCAGAATTAGTTTTAGTATTTCACCAAACTAATAGTCTAACAGTATTTTTCGCAAACTGGGTCCAAAACTTAGAGCTCGTGTGGCGAATCAATTTTTCGGCTTATCAAGCTTATCAACCAATTTTTTCATCAAACACGAAATTTTTGATTTCACGCGCTGATTTCCTTAATAAGAAAAAGTAAGGTTGATGTTATTTTTTTAAGTAAGAATGAAGGTCCTATAAAAACCATTTTAGCTATTTTTTGTGTATTTTTTTTCTTTATTTTATTAATACAGTACTCCATACATTTTAAATATTTTGTTCATAAATCATCATAATCAACCAATCCAGCCACTTCAGTCAGAAGTTTATAAATTTCAACAGAATTAAACGATTCAATCGATTTCGAGAGTACCAAACACCAGAGGCGGAGATAGGGGTGGGCCAACCCATGCCCTGGCCCAGGCCCAGCCCAAATTTAGAAAATGCCTTTATTTTTAGTGTAAAAAATTCCGAGCAAAAAATTTCAAAAAAATATTCTTTGTATCGGCCCAGTTCGAACCAGTGTCCTGGCTCCGCCCCCGCCAAACACACACTTAAATGAAGTAGAATACAATTTCAATCAATCATATTCCATAATTCACTGAATTTTGGGTCTATGTTCAATGATTTTTTCATGGTGCTATGTCTATCCCTTGTTGCCGCTTAGGATCAGCCTTGAGAATGACTTAACTTGTAGCTCAGAGCAAACCAAGCTAAAAGCAACAATTCCTTTTTTAGTGTTAGCCTGATAAAATCCATATTTAATATGAATTGAACTAGATAGTGATAAGATCTGAGCTTTCACTCCAGACTAATAATACAGAATCTCGTAAACTCTTGTTATTATCAATATCATTAAATTTGATGAGTTAATAAACAACTAATTGTAAGACATTTAAGAAAAACCCCAACCTTGAATGAGTTGAATCGATCTTCTGATTAGCCTCATCTTTGTTAAAAGTGGATCCAAAGTCAGTGAACCCGGACATGGGTTTGGTTCCATGACCCGATTTCTCAATCATGGGGAGCAGATTCATTGTCTGGGTCGCCGGCGGAACCCCTGTTATTTAACACATGAATAAGAACAATCAGAAAAATTACCCAGAATACTAAAACCTGAAATCTTAAAGATTAATGAAATTCAACAAACATACCGGAAGTTTCAGAGTTCCGGGAAATACCCAGACTGAGATCACCAAAAGAACCCCTCCCCTTCAAGTACTGGCTCAGCCGGGTGCATGTCTGGGAGAAGTTCGATTTCTGGCCGGGAAACCTGCCGGAATCAGCCACGTCCGGCGAACTCATCCTTTCCCGGCGATAGAAATCCAGAATGATTTGATTCTGAAATAAAGTAAAATGAGTTCTTTCTTCAGGATGGACCAAATTAAGGAATACACGGCTCCTTATACCCGGAATTATTATGAGCACATGCGTAAAAAATGAATATATAATGACGTGTAATAGACGGAGTATATAAAAACGTGTATATATGTCCAACGAGAAAAGGAGTAGATAGATGGTGAAGGGGGTGGTTAAAGGAAGGGGTGGAAAATGTGTTGGGCGGGAGGGGAGTTACTGTACGGTGTGGTGCACTCTGCACCTCCCAATAGTTGACTTTGTCCCTACCAAACTATTTGCATCTTTTTCTGAGAATATTTCTTAGCTCATGTTTTTCAGCAATTTGAGGGAGTACATACCTGTCTACGGCCATACCAGTTCCAGAAGTGTAACAAGATATAAGGAGTAAGAAGTACGGAGTATTAAATTACTCTCCTTTGTTTTGACACAATGTGGCTTATAGTAGTATTAAATTACTACTATAACAAGTTTTAAATTACTAGAACGTAAGCCGGACATACAAAACGATAACAAGTTTTCTTTCTAGCATTCGTTCTTGAATGAGACTTAAAACCTGTCACCTCCGAAGTAGTAATCAGATTCACTGATCTTGAATGGAGCTTAACTGAGTCAATGATATGCAAACTAGATTTCCCATCATCCCACTTAATTAAATTCTAGAGTTTTAATGTTAGATTTTTTTTCTTTTGACTTTTTGGAATGCCTTTTCATTGAGGAGTAAGTTTTATTGTAGATTACATAGTTTTGACACTATTTGAAATTGTCTTGCCCCGTACTGTCATTATTATTTAAGGTAGTAAAGTAAATTGGTATAAATTTGTTAATCAAATACTCCATAAGAAAAGGAAAATGTAAAATTTATTTAGGGACGAAGTGAGTATATCTGTATATGCATACAATTTTATTACACTTGAAATTATACAGAGTATGGAGTAAATAACAATAAAAATTTATCACGGAGTAATAAAAAAACTATTGTTGTTGTAACACTATTTTCCACTGACAAAGAGAACCGTGTGTTAAAATGTTTTTCGACAATATCAGATCGTAAGTATGATTGAATTAAAACTTTCACACGTTTTTTACATGAAATTTGTCCAAAAAGGATGAATCACCAACCCCAAGAGCCCCCACGCTCCGACCCGGCAGAGCACATGGGAGACCTTAAGTAAATCACAGTGACTTAATCAATCTTAATGGTGGTAGACTTTATACCCGTGCGCATCACAGGCCCAGACCAGCCCATAGGAGTTGTGACTTCACACGGTCGCTGCGGGTTTCGATAAGATGAAATACATAATTATTGCACTCTTTTAAAGAATATACAGATTTTTGTAATGGTTCAAATCTAAACAGTTTGCTTTGTGTGAAACAGTTTAGTTTTTGCAAGTGTTTTCTGAAGTCCACTGCTACGCCTCTATTCTCAAGTCATTAATACGAGTACAATGTCCTCCACTTTATCCCGGTTCGGAGAGAATCTATGTACGGGCTATGGTAGGTTGAAGCCCACTAATTTAGAATTTTAATTTTTTATTGAAATATTTTCATTTTCCACATTCAGCTTACCACGTCAATATTTAACCCTAGTATAATTCTTATTCAGCTCAAGACATCTTATGTTCTTGGATCCGCCCCGGATCCCGGCTAGTTCTCAATTTTAAATTATAAACCCATTTGGTGATCCGTATTTTTAGGTTATCAGTCTTTTCAGGCCATCAATTGTCTTTTTAATTGAGCACATATTTTTTGATTTAACACGATGGATTGTGTAATAATCAAAATAAGTAAGGTCTTTCTTACTTTTCTGACTGAACTGACTGAAGTTACTATGATCACTTTAACTATTTTTCTAATAATTGTCTCTTTGTTTAATTACTAGTATATATATATATATATATATATATATATATATATATATATATATATATATATATATATATATATATATTTTAATTATATTTTTTCTATAATTCAGCAGATTCAGTCAGTTCAATCAATTTCAGTATAACCAAAAGGGCTTCTAGTGTTTTTGAATGTACACATTGAGAAATAATATATGTATACCTTTCTCTCAGTAGTGATAGGTCGCTTGTTATCGACACACGTAACAAACTGCATTCTTATGGAACTGTTAATCATGAAACACATCAATGTTAATACAAATATAACTAAATCATATTTCACACAAATAAAAAATTTACTTGACACATCAGTGACAATCACAAGATGAAATTCTAAAATGTTATTTGGCAAGCATATTAAATTATTACATTAATTAACACTAACTATATTCTTCATATAATATTAATTAAATGTAATACCTTTTCTATGTAATCGGTATATTTTATTGGGTTATATATTGCTTATTTTTTCACTACAAGAATTTTGCAACAGACAAAATTCATTGCAAAATGTCGGATTTTGTTGCAAATCGTGTTTTGCAACGGAAAATGGAACAAACGTAATATTGTTGTATTAAAGGTCTTGCAATTTTTTGCAACAATAATGACCACAGTTGCAATGATATTCAATGACTTTTGCAATACCTATTTTTTCATTGTAATAATAGCAACAGGTTTAATTATTGACACCCCAAACTTAAAAGTGCTTTAATTATTTGTCCCGAAAAATTCTTGAACTGGCTGTACCCTGTATACATTCATAATTTTTCATAATGATTTAATGATATGCATGTAGAGGTACAAGATACTTTTGAAAGGTGTAACATGCTTTACTCTTAGGCATCCACATTCATGAGATCTTTTGGGAATGATGATGTGGAAGATCTTTTTTGAGATTATGATTGAGGAGATGCGATCATTTTGAAAGATTATTTGGATAAAAAGTCTGGTATCAAATATTGAATCCTAGATTATTCAATATTATTCTCAAGTTTCAATAAACACATTTAATGCAAACTTGTCTTTTAAATTGGAATAACTAAAATACCTCCTTGGAAATAATAAAATGTTCCAGAAAAAACTAAATGAATATGGATCATGGTTGAGGAAGAATTAGTAAGTTTTGATTTTGTTTATGTGGCAATGACATGGCAAGAGAAACACATGAAAAATCCAAAATTTGAGTAGCATGGATGAAGTAGCATGGATGAGGATGCTCTTAGAGAGTTTACTTTGTGTTTTAACATTGGATGCTAGTTTAGTAATTCGGAACTAATGAAGTTCTAGAAGTGTAAAGTTCACTTTAATATCTTCATTAAGGGGTTTTTGACTTTCCACTACCTGATTTTTGAGTGATGTTTGATTTTGTACCCTGTTTTCAATAATGCACTTTATTTTACAACTCCGTATAAGATTATTTAATTTTACACACCGTTCCTTCACAATTTTTGATTCGATAGGGTGCTCATAGTCAAATTTTTATTCGATAGGGTGCACATAGTCAAATTTCTTTGTTCCTTATGTGTCGATGAATAAACTAATTAAATAACATGTGGATCAAATAAATAAGGAGAAGTGAGAGTAGGGTGCAATTCCAGTTCCTCAAGCAACCTGGTGAGAATCGGATCGCGGATCGCTAAAGATGTTTTCTTTTGGATCGAAATTTACTGGTCTAGTGTGGTCTGAGACCGAAATTGGTCTAAATGAAAACATCCTAAGACACCTGGCCATAACCGGAGTTAAACAGACTTGAATCAGAATTAAAGGTACTGGATCAAAACGACCCAACCCAAGTAAAGTTCTAGTTTCTCAAATAGGCTATTAAGAAAAGAATCGGGTATTTGATTCGAGTTGGGATGGACCAAATTAAAAATGGATTGAAACCGGACGTCAACCATTTGGGAACCGGGTTCTACCCTGAAATTCCAATTCTAATTATTTATAGGAGTATTTGGAAAAGCCCATCTTTCCTTTAGCATTAATGTACGATGGATAAGATATTGATCATGAGGAACGAAATAAGTAATTTAAAACACAATATAGAGATGAGTAAAATAGTACACCAAAATGGGATGTTCTCTTTGAATTGTTTTCGGTCCTAACCAGATCAAGCCAGATCAGACTAAACAAGACATAGACAGACCAGATCAGATCAAACTTGGACAGTTCTAACATACACAGAGACCAAACGTTTATCATACTATCTCTGTTCAGACCAGACCAGACTAGGCTAGACTTAGCTAGACCAAAACAGACCAGACCAACATCAATCCAAAAGAAATCATCCTAAGTATGATTAAAACTTCTTGGATTATGGTTGACAATAGACCCTTCACCTTATTCCCAACTCGCACCATTTTGTGTAGAAAAGCTCCGGAAGTGAGCTCTATATTTCAAAATTTGTTTATCTAATGCATGGCATGAGGCAATTGAAAAAACTTGAACATTGCTTTAGCTTTAAACTACGACATATGACTCGTCGAGTGAAATATATCCATATATTTAATGTGAGAATCTACATACGAGTATGTAATTAAAAATGCACAAGAGATTAGGGGTGGGTTCGGTTCTTTCGGTTCGGTTTTGACCTAAAACCAAATACGGAACCAAAGTAAAAGTTCGGTTCGGTTTCGGTTCGGTTTTACACTCCAAAACTTGGAACCACGGTTTGATCGGTTCGGTTTGTTTCGGTTCGGTTTCGGTTTTTTTCGGTTTTTTTTACTAGAAATTTGTCATTTGATTTAAAATTGATATAAAAGTTGGATGGATCAAACATATTACATAAAAATGCAAGCATACTTGAACAAATAAAGAAAATAATAATAAATAAATATGTGTCGAATTATATATATGAGTATGCGGAAGAGATAAAAGTGTATATATATTCTTAATTTACATTATTTGTGACTAGTTTGAAAAAAGTTTATGAAGCATACGTCCTATGTGATATATAGGCATATAGCTGAGATGAATATTTATTTGTTTTATCATAATAAAAAATGTAAGTTACAAAAAATTATGTTACATAAAAATAAGGGAAAAGGGGCAAATAAGCCCTCGAACTAATAAAAAAAGTGCAAATAAGCCCTTTTGTAGGAGGTTCCGTCCGGTCATCGTCATTTGGGGAGGTTCACGGTGGAATTTTTTGATGAATTTTTTTGAGCATCTTATTCATTAAGTCTAGTTTAGTCCTACTGAATTTCAGCTAAAAATTCAATCGGGAA